TTTCCTGAATGCCTTGTAATGAAAACTTCACTAATACGGAGATCACTGAATAGTGACCTCAATAGTTATCCCGAGTAGTCAATGGCTGTATGATTTGAATACCGTCCCGATGATATCGAGTAATTTCAAGTGAGATGATCGGGATACTCTTACAGTACCGTAGCTTGAAATGTATTTTGTTGTCGTTGCTGAGTTAGTGTGAGATCGGTCGGAACGGTGTAGAATCAATTAGAAGACTATAATGAAGTCACTGTTGATTTACTAAGAATTTTCTTTAATTCTCCCTGATTGATTGAGTGCCTTCTGCACCTTCGGGCATTTTTCCAGGATGACTCACGTTTAATACAACTCATTCCACGATCGAAGGAATAGTTTTTCTTCTTGGAAAAAAGTACTTTTTGCAGACCGGAGAGAGTCCCTTTAAATGCTATTCGAGGATTGAAGTATTCATTGTCTTGTTTAATGTCCTAAAATGCGTTGATTATGCAAGTATCGCATCTTTGTCGCCTTTGTGATGGAATTAAGTTGCATCTGACTTCTCTCTGTTTCGATTAGTATAATCTGAGTAAGTAAGATTTGGGTGGTGGTTGAGAAATTGAAATGCGTAATTCGGGAAGAAAAAATGCAAGAACCTCCATTTAATAACTTCGTACGAAGAGAGACTGAAGAAATGTTTCCGCATCGTTTTTCAATTTCGATACAATTTATTTGACTATTCAAAGGCGATCGAACCGTTGAGGGAATTTCAATTAAAAAAAATTTTCAATTATTCGTGTTCGTATCAAGTTCAGTAGCTGCTCGTTGGTCAACCCGGCCCACATTTCCACGTCTGTGATTGAATCCTTCAAATAAAAAAAAAGAGTCGTGTTTTGTTTGTCAAATGTTCTTCTGCTTTCTTCTTCGCGAGATGCCTGAAGGTTTTTCGAACGAGTCGAAAGCTCTCTTTTTCTTTTCCACCCTCTTATGCCTGCTGTTGAAAGGCGAACAAAGAGGGGGCCTTGCTGTGTGAGAAACCCGCCGTCTGATATGAGTAATATCGTACGAGTCCAACCCCCGGAAATGTGGCGAGTGCAGTCGACTGGAGACGAGAATTCCTTCACACACAC